ATATAGCTTATATTTAATTAGAATAGAGTTCTTCTTCAAAAAAGTAATCTTTTAAGTTTGGATTGTATACCTACTACCCACAGATAAAAAAAATCAATAGGAAGCAATAATTAGAAAAATATACAAAAATAAAATCAATACATATACTTACATTATAGAAAATTTTAATGCAGTAGATAGTACAGTTATAGATACAAACAATATTAGCTACAAAAATCAGGTTGGGCAAAACCTTAATTGAGTAACTTAGAAATAAAGATTTTATAGATTTATTCTGTTATATAAATCCTTACAAAAAAGAATATATCTGGCAAAAAAACAATTTAGCATTAAGAATAGATTATATATGGTTAGAAAAAGGTTTTCAAAATATAATTATAAAGGCTAAAATTAAAGATTTAAACATTTTAATAATGAGTGATTATAAGTTGGTCTAGACAGAAATAGAAACAGGTTTTACAATATAGTAAACTCTGAAGAAGAAGTAGAAATAAACCAACAAAAAGAGTATTTTTATATTACAAAGTAATATAAGAAAATTGAAAATCCTATAACAAGTATATAAATACCATGCTAAAAAACAAAGTAGTTTTCTCATCTAGAGAAAATGCCCAAAAGAACAAGATAGAAATTAATAAAAAGTGAGAAATTATAAGTGGTGCAGTGCTAAAAGCAGCAATAAAGTATATTCTCTGAATTAATATTAAAAAAACTGAGATTCAGATCAAAACTTTAGTTCCTAAAAATGAAATATACAAAGAAATCAAGTTTCTGTATCAGCTACAAAAAAATAAATATATACATAATGAGGAAAAAATAAGCTTTGAAAACCAGTTGAGGCTTAATACATAAATTCAAAATATAAACCAATTATATCAAATGCAAATTCTACTAATGCCAGAACTTTGGAACTAGGTAGAAGTAACAGATTTAAAAAATTAGAAGAAAATATTAAGAAAAAAGGCAGAAGAAAATGAGCATAGAAAAAAAGAAAAAGAGACTAGCCTTAAAGTAGAACAATGCTTAATATAATAAAAAGAGAGAAAAAAATAATAATACAAAGCCTTCTAAATAAACAATACAATAAAGTGTTGTTAAATAAAGTACTTCTAAAAAAAGATTCTCATTACCAGAATTAAGAGCTCATTAGTAAGGAAAAAGAAGTAAAGCAGCAAGTAATCTTATACTTTCAAAAACAGTTTAGAAAAAAAAAACAAAAATTTAAGGGTAGAGTGAATGTAAATTATTTCTTATATAAGTAGATCAACCAAAAAAATATTATACAAAAATTGAACACATATTATATATAAAAGTTTTTAAAAATGTAACCGATTTTCATAAAAGTTTTAGGATAAATAGATTAGACCCTTCTAATTCTAATTATAATAATTTGAACCCCTGTATTATTTAAAAAAAACATACTTGTATATATTATTAATTCTTCCTAGGTTAATCGAAATTTGTCTAGGTTACACAATATAAATATCATATGATTATCACCTGATTTCAATTAAATGTTATTGTAAAAAAATTAGTAATGTGATTACTAGTAAAAATGATCGACGTTCACCCTACCCTTAAAGAAATGAGCCAGGAATAACAAAAAGAATATAAGCCAAAAAAAGATATAGATCTGAACTGGTATGAGAATATACTAAGTCCAATTAATAATAAGAAATAGTATTAGACTTTATATAAGACACAAAATAAAATAGAGAGATGTGGCAACTTAGTGTAGTGGTTTAGTCGTCATCCTCTCCAAGTAGCAGGTCTAGAGTTCAAATCCCATAGACAACGAATTTTGAAAAATAGCCTGTACTATGGTTTACAGTTGTCAATTATTGGTTGGATCTAGAAATCTGTAATCTCGGTCACACCATCTAGTTATAGGAGCTTTGGCGCAATAAATCTGAGAAACCGGAATAACCGAAAACCCATTTGGCAAGTCCCGAATTTGGAGATAGCAGTGATCTTTGACGGTATCACAGAAGGGCTGAATTCGAACTGGGGCCTGAGATTGGAGAACCAAGTGACCAGGTCTGCTAGCAAAGGACATACCAGCCGAACCGCTGGGTTGTCACACCAGAGAAAAGGGCATATGCTCTGAAAGTATGAACCAAGGGGAGGGAGGGCGTCTTGCAAGCACCTAAAGCCTGGGTAGACCAACCCTTCCGGGTTGCCGACTGGAAGTAAGGAAGAGACCAATAAAGAATCCGGATAAGGAGATGGTCCGAATGTGGATATTGAAGTTGTTGTGAACCGAATAAGGGCAAGAAGTATGTAATAGACACCTAGTTAGGAAGATTAGTGCTTGAGATATATCTGTAGAATGGCAGCACCCCAAAAAGTGGTGTGAGATATGAATACGGAAAGGCAGGCCAATATATACTAATTAGGAAAAAGTTATAGAAACATGCAGGTGAATACATGTGTGGGACATGTACTGCTCTGTTAGGTTTATCTCGAGGATAGATTAGCCAGAAATGGTTGGTAAGTCCTAAGTAGGGATGCTAATGAATTGACTCGACTAACTTTGACTCAACTTGTACCGACTTTTTATCTCAGAGTCAACTTTAGTTGACTTTTAGCCGATCATATGAGCTTACTATTGTTACATATATATGTTGATATATAATACTAAAGATTCTTATTAGTATCAATAAAAGCAAAGAATTTATAAACTGTAATAATCTCATTCAAGCTATTACAAATATTTTTAGTATATTTTCAAATTACTGTATAATTTTAGCTATTTATTTACTAAAGCTAGTTGAAATTTATCTATGCTTATATTACTGTATTTTTAACTCTGTAATATAAGCAATAACTATATAATAAGCAATTAGTTTTTAGTTTTATTGTTCTAATTGGGCTGGAGCAGAGGGAAATGGAGTGTAAGTCCTTTCTATGGTCTATAATTTGGGTTAATGTCTGGCTCCCACCCTGAATTATATAAATCTATTTTGACTAATAAATCCCCTATAAAAATTTAATCAGAATTTCGATTATTAATAATTATATATTGATATGATAAATGAAATATATTAATAAGCATGATAAATAAAATGAAAATTAACATAATAATTACAGAATTATATGATAAATAAATAAAATAGACTAATAAGCATGATAATATAACAATAAATCTAATAACATAATACATAACTTATATAAAATAGATAATTAACAAAACTAATTAAAAGCGAATTAATAATTTATTGTAATGATACAAAAAAAAAGAATTTATATATCTGAACAAAAGACTGCAAGGAATAATGCCAGAAGAAACAGATTGGCTTCTATAACACCCGAAGAACAGTTAAATTACCAAAACGAAGAGTCAATAAAAAGGCAAGATCAATGTAACCGCCAAAATAATAATGTCAAAAAAGAAAATGCAAATCTGAATGACAAACGTAATGTTTTATAATTTCTACAAATTATAAAACGTTGACTATTTATATAAACTAATTTTTTATTTATTAGAGAATCAAAATATCTTGTCACTACTACTTGCATGTCAGCTTTCTAATTATGATCAGGAACTTCTAAAGAAGTTTCATGATGCAGTTTATGCACTTAAATTCAATTTCTGCCCTATTTGTAAAGAGAATTTTTCTATGATTGTATTAGTCTATAAAACAGGATTATATACTAGATTCAATCAAGAAAAATTAATTCCTAAAAAGTTTTCGAATGAAAATAATATAGACCCTGGTATGTAAAGTCTTTTTTTTTTTTTTTTTTTCTTAAGCTAATTATTATTATTATTTCTTTCTCTTTCTTTTTAACCCACTTTTTTTTAAAATTTGACTTTTTTTTTTTTTTTTTTTCTAAGCCAATTTTTTTTAATTTGTTTTTTTATTATTTTTTAACCCACTTTTTTTTTAATTTTTTTTTTATATAAAATTTAATAAAATGCGCATGCATAAAACCCATTTCTACTTATTATACATATATTATAAAGTTTAGCCATATAATAAATAAGGCTCCAGCCTTATGAAACGGCACCATTTTACTAGTTTATTATCATACTAATTGTGAAATATTGATATACTAAAACTGTTATAGCAAAATAAGAATAAAAAATAGTATAAATATAATACTATTTTATTCGATATTTATTTGTTTATCTATTTAATAGATTAAAATGAAGTTTAGTGTAGAAAATTTATAAAAATAAACTAATTAAATAATCATTACATGCTTTCAAATTCAGGTTCTAGAATATTTTTATCTATCCAGCTCTTTAAGCAAAGACATGCATAAGCATTTTCACTTGTTAATCAATTTCTTGCTTTACTAATAATAGCTCCAGCAATTGAAAATAACTGTTCGCAAGACACTGAACTTGCTTGAATTGCTAAATAATTTCGTGCAAGATTAGATAATAGCAGAAATTCATCTTGGTATATTTTCCACCATGTTAATGGTTCAATATTATCACTATAAAGTGAGAGATTCCAATAATGTTGAATTTTATCAATTTGTTGTATGTCTGATGAATTTTGTATTAATTGTGCTACAAATATTGATACTTTTCGAGTTGATGTTACATTTGTATTTCTTATAGGAAATCAGCGTTGTATTGGATCAAAAATTTTTTGAATTGTTTTTCCAAGAAAACAAAGTGTTTTGTAGCATAGATCTAAGAATACAGCTATATGTGATATTTCATCAATATGTTGCTAATAATTTTGCAATTTATTATAAATTGCTACAGAGACCTCTTTTAATAAATTACTAGCAGTGTTATAAGATTTTAAATCTTTACAAATGCTAAGTAAAATAATTCACATATGAGCAATTGTAGGATAATTTTGTGCAGACAATTCCTTTGTAGCAATATCAAATTTATTTAATAATTTCATTAAAATTTTAATATAATCCTATTAATTTTGAGTTAAATAAAGATCTTGTAATACTGAGTAATGTAGTATAATTGTATCTAAATATTCTTTAAGAATCAGTATTCATTTTAGTATATAAAAAGTAAAATTTTAGTGAGTTTTAATATCAAGAATTGGTCGAAGAAATTCCTTTTTATCTACTAAATGAAATCGTTTCAAGTCTTCTAAATATGTATAAGAATCACGTAATACTTTTACTAGCTGTCTCACTTTTTTAATTAGTGACTCAACCTGTTTTAATCACTTCCTACTACAAGATTAAGTATATGACAAATACAACGATAATGCATAAACTCATCAGAATCAAGTTTTGCTTTTATTAGATGATATGCTTTAACTACATTTGCTTTATTATCACTTGTAATAGTAGCAGCTTTTTGAGTTAAGTTAAATTCATTCAAAATTAACATTATAAAGTTACAAATTGCTGTTCCCATATAAGATCCTTGAAATTTAAGTATTTCTAAAGTAAAATGTTGTAAGTGCCAATACTTATCAACAAAGTGAATTGTAAGAGCAAGAAAACTCTCTATTTTAATATTAGCCCACATATCTGTAGTAATTGATACAGTTCCAGAAATATTACTAATTATTATATTAAGTTTATAACGTTGTTTTATAAATGTATTCAAAATTTTATTTTGAATTGATTGTTGCTTTGGAATTTTAAATAGTGGATCAAGTTTATTTAATAATTCACGAAATGAAGGCTCATCTACTACAGAAAAAGGTTATATACTTTGAATAATCCATTTAATTAAAAGAATTAATTGTTCTATTTGTTCTTTTTCAGAATGTGATTTGTATTTCTTTTTTTTTAATAATCCATATCTATATAGATGTTCCTGTATGCTTGATGTACTTGTCTTTAGTGAAAATATAGTAGTGTATTCTGGAAATTTACAATGTCGATCCTCTTTGTCTACATGATTTTATACATCTGCAGAATATCTAGTAGAAGTTTTTGAACTTGTATCTTCTACCTCTACTATAGAATCTTTGATTTTTATATTCTCTTCACTATTAATATTAGAATTATTAATTTCAAAAATTTGCATATCTGTGTTAAGCATTTCACCATATTCTAATTTTTCTATTTTGGTAATATATCCATTAAAACTATTATAATTTTCAAAATTTTGATTAAACTTATTCATTGTATTTATTTTATCCGGTAGTATTAAAGTTAAAAATTTTTATTTAGTATCACCAATTTATATACTATTAATTTTAACAATTATATACATATGATATAATTAATTTTAACAATTATACATATATGATACAAATAATTTTAATAATTATACACATATGATACAATTAATTTACTATGTATCTATCAATATTAGTCGATAATTTAATTATTTGATTATCAGTACACTAATTGTTAACTGATTTCTTATTAATCAACTTAGTCGACTAACTTGATAAATAAAGTGATTATTGACTTAAAATTTAAAGTCATCAACTTAGTCGAGTCGTTAGCATTCCTAGTCCTAAAGCAGTCAGTAATCCTTTGCCAGGGTGATACCAAAATCCATATATAAATAGTGAGGAAGCCCAGGGTTAGTTGGGTAGTTGTTGGCAGTTGTAACCAGATAGTTTAAATGGGTACCCCCATAGTTGGGGTGTAGATATGGCAGATAGTGTAGAACCCTTAGCATAGCACTACTGCTTTGGGCGGACTATTTAAATTAGGCACCAAAAGTGCACGTGTGGCTTGATGTACTATTGTTGTAATTGCATTTAAACTTCGTCTAGTTGCTAATAAAAGCTTTCAGGCCAAAGAAGTCTCCTTAACTTTAAAAAAAAAATAAATAAATAAAATAGCATCTGGTATATTCTGTATTGGCTATATATTATTCAAAAAATTGTCTGTGAAGTTAACAAAAAGAGTGATAACTTTCATAAATACAGTTTTAAAGTATAATAAAATTCCAGACAAGTAGAAAGTAAAACAATTATATTTAATATCTAAGAGAAACTTTTAGAAGTATAATCTGAGTAATACAAGATTTATAGACTTGCTAGAAACATGTAGAAAAATATTTACAAGAATAGTGTAAGCAAGATTAGACAAAGTTATGAGGGAAAACAATATATTAAAAGGTGCAAATTTTGTAAATCTTTCTGAGAAAAGCACAGTAGCCTCTTTGTGTATTATGAACAATATACCATAGGTTTTCAAAAATAAGCTACCTCCAAAAATAAGCTACTTTCTCTTTTCTTGGAGAAGAAATATAAGAAAAATCTTTATTCCAAAATAAGCTATCCTGATAATTTTTCAAAATCTAGAAGTAGTTTCTATATATAAAAGTCAAAATTTTATTAAGTAAATCGATGAAAGTCACTTAATAGGGGTTGTTTAGGACGTAAAAATACACATATTCTGAAAGTTTGAAGCAAATCGAAAAACTTTTTACTAAGATATTTTTGCATTTTACGTTCAAACGTAAAATGCAAAAACATCTTAGTAAAAAGTTTTCTAATTTTTGGTATATGTGTATTTTTACGTTCTGAACAACTCCTATTAAGTGACTTTCTTTGATTTACTTAATAGAATTTTGACTTTTATATATAGAAACTACTTTCAGATTTTGAAAAAATAATAAAAATCAACCTTTTCAAAATTTTACCTTAAAATAAGCTACTTCCATGATTTTTGTGTAACTTTTTTGCCAAAAAAGAGTAGCTTATTTTCAGAAACCTACAGTAATTGAAAAAGCAGTAGAGAAAAAAAAGAACTATAGAAATTCTTCGACTCAGTAAGTATAGTAATATTAAAAAAAGCTCTAGAAAGACTTGAACTTCTACAAAAGCTAGCAGACTTTATACTGTATCTATATGAAAATAGAAGATCTAGCATTATAACAGAATATAGTAGCACAGATCTGTTTAAAGCAGGAGACGAGATAGACCAAAAGGAGGTTTTGTCACCCTTGGTTTGAAGAATATTTATGATTCACTTCTTTTTAGAGTACAAGATGCAAAATTAAACTACAAAATACAAGATAATTTAATAGATGCTAACAGAAAAGTTGATGATGAAAGCTAAAAATAGATGTATTAGCATATGCAGATAATTCAATATGGGTAACACATAATCAGAAAAGTATACAAGAGACAATCAATATATCAAATGAATTCAACAAACTAAACGATATTAAAATAAACCTAAGCAAGACCAAGTTAGTAGTAGCAAAACTAGGAAGAAAAAAATAGAGAACAATTTATTTGTATAAGCCAAAAGCCCAAAAACAAAGTTTCTGGCTAAAGGTTTAAAGGAATCGTTTTATTTTTTGGGAGTTTGGATCTCAATCAAGAACTAGCAAAGATTAGATATATATAAGGCAAAGAAGGAAGTAAACAAAATAACAGAATTGCTCAAATATAAAAAAATATCATTCAGCCAGGTTATATATATAAACAATATGGTTCTTGTATTTATACTAAAATATAGGTTTATACTTTTATATTTAACTAAAGCTTAATACGATAAAATATATCAATCTATAGTATATTTTACAAAATAAAAAATGTTAATACTATTCATGGTAGTAAATATAATAAAAAAGCATCCAGAGATAGTGAACTTCAAAAGTCTTTGAAATAGACATATAGAATATCATTTCTCAGAACTTATAATAAGACTAAATATAAGCAGGTTTTTAAAAAAATTGATGATAATAAGTTTGAAACAAGGTTAGTACAAGACAGACTTAACCAAATATATTCTAACAAATCATGAGCTTTTAGCAAAAAGAAAGTTAAAAATAAAAAACTTGAATATACAAATTCTGCAGCAAGCAAAATCTTTAAATTTTATAATAAAAGAGAATAACTTTACAAAAAGTTGGAATATGAATTTCTTTTAAATAGCTAATGATTATGAAATTGCAAAGATCTTAAAAAAATATAAATTTTTTATAAAGAAACAAATGCAAGCAAAATAGAGTTATAATTATCATCGTAGCTTCTAACAGCAGATAGTAAATTAATATATACTTGAAAACAAATTAAACTAATAAATAATCTTATTTTAAGAAGAAAAAAAGCAAATTGGTTTGATACATTAGAAAAAAAAATGATTATTGACTCAATAACAAGAGAAGTCAAGCCTATATACAAGCTTAAGACAGATAATCCAAATATATTCAAGATAAGTATAGAAAAGTTAAAAAGAATAAAAGATTTAAAGAATAGATTATATGGAAAGATAAAGATTATATACAAATCAAAATTAGAAAAATCATAGAAAAGAGAGAAAAGTATACCAAAATAGAAAATTAGACAAAGACAATTTGGCTACAATTAGGGATAAAATGAAAATTCTTGCAATATGTTAAAAACCAAGCATCTATTTCGATAAAATGTAGAAAACTAGAAGATATATCAAACCTGGTACAAAAGTCAGAAAGTGGCCCACAAATGATTTTTAATGCATATTCTTTAGAAAAAGCTATCAAAAAGATATAAAGAAAAAGATAGTAATTGTAAAAGAGATACAAAAAGTTAAGAGAAAGAAATTATTAATTATAGATTGTATAAGATGAGAAATGTGTTTAATAAATAGAGTAGTTGAAGATAAAATATTTAAAAGTAGTTTAATAGAGATCTGAGATCAAAATAAAGCTTTAAATAGTTTGTTGTTTTATACAGATAGCTTACTCAGAATATCAGAGGATCTTACAAAAATAAAGATAGGTTGTAGGATAGTACAAATTATAGAAGAAGATCAGATTCTATATCAAATAGCTTGTAATACTAAAAAATAGTTCTTATCAACAAAAGCAGAGTTAATAGCAATCCTGGTAGTGCTACTAGTAATATCTAAAGAAAAAGAAGTAGAAGTAATAACAAATAGTAGTGCAGTTATATTTGCAATCAAAAAAAAGGCTTAAAGCAAACAAAACAAAACAATAATTTAAGATTAAAAATGGTGGCCTGATTGCAACAATAGTAGAAATAGTTAAAATGAAGCAACTAACTCTTAATTTTACAAAAATCAAGAGTTACTCAGAAGATATTTTTAATAATTTGGCAGATCTCAAAGTCAAAGAAAGTGCTAGATTTATAGAGCTCTTGGCTCCTATAGCATTAGATATGAAAGAATTTATAGAAAAACCAATATACTCTTTTGTTAGAATGTTTGAGAAAGTCATAAATAAAGCAGAATAGATATTTGTATATAACAGGCAGAATACCATATATCAAAAAAAAGTGATTCTACAGTATTGGCCAATTTTTTATAAAATTTTAAAGGGTAGAATTAAGCAGTGTAATCATATTTACAGATCAAATACAATATAGCCTTTTAAATTAAAGTGTATAAACAATGTTTTGCTAGTGTTTGAAAAGCTTAATCAGAGAAAATCTAAAATATACAAAACTGATAGATGTATTATATGCAAAAAAAAAAACAGAAAGCATTAAACACTTAGTAAGTTGTAAAGTATCAATAAGGCTAATATAAGATATTAAAGAGCAAGAAGTAAAAATGATTCTTAAAGAAATAAAGAAGTGCAAAATATAAACGAAAAGAAAGAAGAAATTCTTGTTATAATAGAAAAAGAAAATTTTACTGAAAAGTTACAAAGAAGAGAGAGATGGATAAAGGGTTTGATCATAAAAGAAAACTTCACTAAAATATGGCCAATATTTATATCCAACAAACAAACTAGAAACTTTATAGTAAGGCTTTGGAAGAGATAGATAAAAAAGATATATGAAAAGATTTAAGTCAAGAAATGCAAGTTAGTGCAGAGCTGGAAAAAGAAAATAGTATAATACAAAAAAAAAGTGAGGATATAATGTAAATACTAGAAGAAAACAAAGAAAGAAGAAAAGGAAAAAGAAGGCAAATAAAAAAAAAATCTAATAAATAAGACACATGAAGAAAAAAAAACATAAGAAAGAAGTTAATACAAGATAGAAAACTATATTAGATATAGCAAAAAATGAAGTTTTGAGTTGGATAAAAAGTAAACAGAAGGCAAAATAGTAGAAAATAAATTAGTAGTCTTAACAGGCTGTAAGAACTATCTGATGAAGTATTGATAAACTTGTTTGTAAAGTAAATTAATATGAAGATAAATCTTACTATAGCAGATTATATATAGATATTTATAGAACAACTAAGTAAGCCAATATTTGTAAC